ACCACTGTCTCTTTTGGATCGGGGCATAGGTCATGAGAACTTCCAAATATAATAGGTTATAGCACCTACTGACTTTTCTATAGATTCAAGAAGGACTCTGCCTAGGAAGTTCCTAGAGTCACCAAAATAAGAAATAGTCTTCCCATTATTCTAGCGCTTGTTTCATAGATTCATTCCCTGGCAACCAGGAGCAACTCCCAAATCATTTCTGACTTGTACATGCTTCCCACCTGGGACAAAGACACTCCTTCACAGCACCATGACAACCACGCCAGCAACACAAGCGTTTGGGATCGTGCAGGAAAATGAAAATCCTGAAAGGAAGCTAGGAGATAAAGGCTTACTATTCCTTGTTTCCCACTGGTAGGAAGTAATTACAAAAATTACTTTAACACAAAGCTTCTGGTGAGTGAATAGTTTGTAATTTGATGGGAAAAGCTTAAGGGCCCAGGGATTAAATAAAAATTATGAAAAGCTGAATGATGTCATCCAAGTACAGCCCCCCTTTCCCCCCAAAGAGACTGCCTAAAGCAAACTTCTTATGGGTGACAACACAGACATTCTTCAGAGACGCTCAGGGGTATGTTTTGGTTTTCATCGGAGTTTAGGCTCAGTTGATTGATTTAACAGTGGAGGTGAAGCTTATGACCGTTTATTGATTGATTAACCATGCTGTTACCAAATGAAATTTCAAAAACCAGTAAAATATAAAATAATTTTGTCCAAACTGAATGCACAGAAATGGATGTGATATCCATCCTCCCAAAGCAGAAATCAAAAAGAAAAAAAAGAGAAAAAATAGTGAAATTCAACTCTCCCCCCATAATGAAGTAGATAAGGTTTTTTTGACATGTTCTTTATCATAATCATGAACAGTTTATGTTTGTTGTTTAAGGAAAAGGATGGTGTTTCTTTGCCAGAAACCGGCAGTACTATGTGTTATTAACACCTGCCAATTCTACACTGGGAGAGGTAGTTTATACTGCCAAGCGTAAAACCGTTTTCGGTCTTAAAAGAGTAATTTTAAAGCAGAGTGCTGCGTCTGTGATCTTACAAGTTCAATATATTTTCAAACAGTTCTTCACATTTTTCCACATTTCAAAAAACAATACAACTTCCTTACAAAGAATTAAGGAAAGAGAATCTGTGAACTATATGGAAATGGTTGCGGGTTTGTGTTACTGTTGAATCACAGCATTTATGTTCTCAACAGGTTCAAAGCTGTGAGTGACTTTTATTGAAAATCCAGATAAATAAGAGGATAAGGAATCAAAAGAGCTGTTTGCTTTTCATCAAGTGAAACAGCTTAGTGTTCTTGAGTGTGGTAGAAGACTATTATCTGCTTTACGTTTTGTTTTGTGTTTATGTTTTGAGGACTCAATGTCTTCCTCTCCCATAGCGATAGGTAGCGGATATCTTTAATGGGCTTCCAATTCTGTGCAAGGAACACCTTCTGATTCTCGATATGAACTTGGAAAAGAGAGAGTAGAAGGCAAGCAAAGACACTCTAAGCATCCACAGTGGACAGGGACAAAACCTGTCCCCTGACTCCAAGCAAACGTCTACCCATCCTTTCCCCACCATGTGTGTAAGGGTCATCGTTTGCTGACTCTGACACATGATTATGAAAATATACTGTGCATTTTTTATTCACTCACTTTTCCAATGGATCTTTGAACTCAAATATCCAAAATTATACCCCCTTGTCATCCTCCATCAACCCTATTTCTGTTTCCCATTTTCAATACCTGAATTCTGGAAAGAGAATCTTCTCGTCTTTCAGATTAGTATTCTGAGTCACCCTTGTTCACTCTCTCTCTCCACCCCCGAAATAGACGGCATCAAATCACCCCATCGGTTTTACTTCAGTCTCAATCCAATTTGGCTCCTTCTCTCCATCTCGCTTTTATCACTTCATTCAGGACATAATTGGTTTTAATTTAGAACACTTACTCCAAACTATGGAAATTAAATGAATGTCAGTTCTGAGTTGCTAAGCTGACAAAGCAACACATGTGGCCGGGCGATTATGGAGACAACTAGCAAAATACAGCAGAATGTTTATGTATAAGGGCCCCACTGGTGAAACTCTGTCCGGGTGATTTGCTGTCAGGGAAATTTATGAAGACCGTGGCCCTCAAATGTATTTCTAAGTACCTCTTATGTATTTTAATCCTCTTCTAATAACTTATTGAAGAAAGACCACTTGTGTCTCGTACAATAATATCCTGAGTTGATCCAGACAAAGCACTATTTCATATGATACTGTAGCTTTCATTTATAAATCAATATACCATCTAAACCTAGAATCTGTTCAGTGCTACATTTTAGAATGATGGAATAAGGTATAAAAATATATTCTTAATTTCACTTGGAAAGTATGTAGTCCATGAAAAAGCTTGGCTCTCGGTCTTGTGACCAAGAAGGTAAAAGAAGAATTTTAAAGTTATAATATAGTACTTAAAGTTCTGAATCTGAATCTCTTTTTACCCTAAAAAGACATTTACATTTCTGAAATATATGGTTATAATTTAAGAGTCTCAAAAGGAAGAAAATTGATAATCACTAGCAACTCAGTTCAATCAGAACTTCATAAATAAGAAAACAGAAGTTGTTAAGCTCATACAAAGGTTTATCATAGAACATTCTACATTATATATTGGGTGAAGTTTTAAAGCAATTTTGAATTAAGAAAGGAACCCCTCCTCCTTTGACTGATGATTGCTGAAAACCTTTCCAAAATGTATTTTATGGTCTACTCCAACTATAAAATAATCTTCTACTCATAACTGAAAAATTAAAAATAAAGTCTTCAGTGCCTGGCATTCTTAAAAACAACTCATTATAAAATCAGAGTTAAGTCAAGGTTGATGCTACTTGATACGTTAAATAATTTTCTAAATTAATGTCCCAAACTGCCTTAATCTTATCTAATTCTTTTAAATTTATACACTCTGACTTCTAAATTATTTTTCCTAATCTAGTATCTAAAAATGCAATAGGTATAAAACATAGTATTTCCCACAATTTTCTTATTCCAATTGAAAAAAAAATCTCTCCTTCTCTGTAAATATTAGACTACTAAAAATTCCCAGGACTGATATTTATAGAAATGGATACCCTCAGGGACTGAAATAGAGCAACAGAGTAAAGCTTGGTGAAACTATAGGTGTGACGGAAAGAGCAATTGGGAGGAAAGTCACAGTGCCTTATGCACTAAGGACGTTCCAGTCCTCTTCTACAATTCTATAGCATAGAGGCTACACTTTACTAAAAGATATTTAACCACTACCTCACAAAAGATATTAGATATCATTAACAATTAAACTATAGAAAAATTACTGCAGGGGTGCTTGGCTCAGTGGGTTAAGCCTCTGCCTTAGGCTCAGGTCATGATCTCAAGGTCCTGGGATCGAACCCCGCATCGGGCTCTCTGCCCAGTGGGGAGCCTGCTTCCCCTTCTCTCTCTGCCTGCCTCTCTGCCTACTTGTGATCTCTCTCTCTGTCAAATAAATAAATAAATAAATCTTAAAAAAAAAAAAAGAGAAAGTAATGCATCCTACTATCTATCTTTTCACATATCCAGTCTTTTGATTTAGAATGACATTTTTAAAACATGAAAATACAAATGAGAATAAGAATGTATTCACAACATGAAGGCAAGCAATGCCTAACTGTTCAACTTTAATTAAAACTCCTAACGTGTAAATCTTTGTACAAAGTTATTATCATTAATGATTAATAACAGTAACAGCTAGCACTGATTGCCTATCTACTATTATCGAGGGCTACACTCAACAATCTGCATGTATTATTTCTAAGACATTATAACTGTGCAACGTATTTGAATTCTTTGCTCACAGAAAAACTGAGGCTCAGACAGTTGAACTACTATTCTAAGGTCACAGAACAACTTGATGTTTCAGAGCTATTACTCCCATCTGCCTAAATATTCTCTTCCAATTACACCACCGTGACCCTTGAGGACGGGCACACATTTCACAGTATTGCATCTACTAATTCAGTGCTGTTGCTTCAGATCAGAAATTTCTCAAAAACTCTTCAGGCCAAGTTAATTTAAAATTTATTTTAAATTGTACTATTCCATTAGTATGGTGCATTAAAGGAAACGTGGTATCTGAAAATCAAACTAGGTAATAACTCTCAGGAGGCAAGATATCATGAATCTAGAATCTAGATGGTCAACTTAAGATTATTTATATTCCTGACATTTTCCCTGGGGGAAATTTCTATTATCTCTAATCAGATAATTGGCCTGACATAAGGAAATACAGGCTTTTTGAAATTTGGTTAAAAAACATAAATTCTCAAATTTCCTTTCTTTTCCATTAAGGGAACTTCTACACCCAACTTGTAAAAACATCTCTTTAATAACAAATTAGTTTCAGATTTCATTAAAACACACAAAATTAGAGAAGCTTAACATGCCATAATTTAATTGACTTGAGTGGTCCAGCCTATTTTGAATTAAAATTTGGCAGAATCATTCAACTCATTCTCTCTCCCATATTGTAGAAAGATTTGCAAAATAGACCTTCAAGTCACATAGCATTTGTATTTTCAAATGTGCCTACCACATATCGATCGCTTTGCCATGTCAATATATCTTATTTTAAAGGTCTGAATAATATTAATAACTCATAATTTAGATACTTTTAGAAAGCAAAAATATTTTAAGTTTTCACAGAAGAGAGAGAAAAGGTCATTTTAATGTGAAGCCTTAACAGAAATCATAAATAGCAAACAGACTGTCAACACAATAATGCACTGGAATAAAATAATAATAACACCAGTAACATTATATTCCGCTATGGGTTTCAAGAAAGTTGAGCCAAATTTCAAGACTTATGAACTTCTTTCACTACCTCCATATTAGGCAAAAGCACATGATTATCACACTCTCTTAACTGACTGGGAGAGTTGTTTTCAAGGTATCTTAAAATTATGGTTAATTATTAAGCCTTGTCAAAGATACCTACCTCTGTATCGGCAGTCGTGGGACACGTTTCCGGAAGCCCATTCTACCGCTGATCTCTTGTAGACAACATGAATCCTTCCATTTTCTTCCTCCATCTGTTTACCTCTCTCCAAAGGTTCAATGAAATACTCATCATCATCACTTTTTATCATTCCAGCCTAGAGAAAGAAAGCATAAAATGTGTTAATTAAAAAAAAATTTTTTTTAAAGATAAAGTATCTGTCATCTTTAGCTCACGAGTACCTTTTTAAATGGCAAGAATATAACTTGTGAAAACTCATGCTTTTTCTTACACTTTTGGCTATAAATTTCACATGGTTAAATAATTCACATAAGATAGAAATTCATAAATGATAGGAATAAAATAATTCATATAAGGTATAATAAGAACTTTACATAGAGTAAGAATAAGAAAATTACACAATGTATGCACTTCATTAGACTGCAAATGAAGTGCATTTATATATTCTACTTGGTATTTTATCTCTAAAAGAAATCTTACAGGGTTATGAAATAAACTCAACAAACATCTCCAATATCCCATAATCACCCATTGTAGAGCTGCTACCCATGCATGGCTAGTATTTTTTTTTAAGTCATTTACATTTTCCTTCCATACCACTATGGTAAGAGAACAATGAGTTCCTTTAAAAGCCTCTTTAAGTTTCAGTGGAAATACTGCATTTCTAATATTTATTAATTTGAGGAACTAACTCATATTTGTCCAATCTTCATCTAACACTTGATGATTTTATACCTATTTTTCCCTCCTCAAGCCCCATCCTTCCCGACTAAAAAAGTTATGCTTCATTCATTAATAGAGTCTTTTTTTCTGCTGTTTCATCTTTTATTTAGAAAATCCCAGGACTATGTTCACTACTATAGCTGAATAGAAATGATGTCTTTTGTCTGAAATTTGCTCCTCATTAGGTATCAAGTCCACGTTACAGTCAAATAGTTACAGCTCACATTTCCAACTTAAAGGTCATACATTAATATGTAGTATGAACTTAAATTTTTGTGCTTTTTATTCGAAAATTAAGTCAGAGAAATAATGTGTTAGTGTGGGAATTGTAATTATTTTGGAAACACACGTTGGATCTAGAAGTAAGTCATATTTTTCTTCTGAGGCCCTTGGCTTATTCTATATTTTCAAATAGGAGATTACGGGCTCTCGTGAAACATGGGCTGGGCCTTAGGGATGCTCATCCTTTCTAGCTGTTGATGTAACAGTTCTACCACTCTCTGTTGAGCAGCACAGAAATTAAAGATAAGTACGCCTTCCCATATGGCACTTGTTTGCAACAAATATGCTTGACTGTAGCTTTTCTGTTGTATTCGACTCTGTTCCCTGGTTTCCATTCTGACTTCTTCCACCTGGCATGCCCTATGCCCTCCTTCCCTGTGTAAGCGTCACAGAGAGGTCTTAGAAACTAGGGTGTCCCCCCAAGCACTTCTGCACTCACCCTGATGCTACGCACAAAATAGTCCTTGATTTTATGTGACCACGTCTCACAAGAAAACACGGCCACAGCTCCTTCACTATGCTTAGCCCTTACCCTCCTGAAGAAACTTCTAGCTTTCCCTAAAAAGAACACTGAGCTAATGGGCATTGGTTATTCATACTGACCTTCGAGACCTAACTCCCATTTTTGGAGTTGTTTTCTCATCTGGTCAATCACTCTTCCTCTACTCCTCTACTGTGAAATGCAGTATTTTTTACAAGGGGCCTGATTACTCTTTACCCTTCAGAGTTGTTCGTACTATCAAAGGATCTCCTCTACAAATAGAACTTCCAACATTTTTCTCATGCTTTCCAGTTCTCATTTTAATCTCTTTAGCATTGGTGTTCCATTCTTATATCTCTTTTTACCAGTAATTTCAACATCATTATTTTTGCCCTTCTCAGGCACGTATGGTTTCATAACATTCATAAAATACATTCAGACTAAACACAAACACAGTTCCATGTACAAGGCTTAAATGTACAGACTCATCACTAATGCCATCCATCGGTGATAGGCAGTATTAACTGGCTTTATCTTGAAAACACTGGTCTGTTGACATACATTTAGTTGATAAATTGAGCTTTCTCAGCAGGGGGCTTCAGTATTCCTCTTTATTCTATTTATTTCTATTTATTCTTTTCTTTGCACCAAATCCATCCAGTCACCATGTTCTATGAAGTTTCTTACATTCTAATACCATCCTTCTATTTCCACCACCACTTCCTTAGTTACAGACCTCATCAGTGCCCATGTGGATTTCAGAAACTGCCTCCTATCTTGAGATGTCCCATAAATCATAATGTTTCTCCCAAAGGAGAGCCTAACTGTAGATGGAAATAGTGGCCCATGAAACAAGTCTGAGCACTGGGCAACGGCTAGTGGGGACACTATGGCTCGTGATGGTGAGGAAGTAAGGATTAGCTCACATGCCTTTAAAAAACATTTCTGCATACCTCCTACTGCAAATATTCAATTCCCAGTCCCCATGATATTACTTTCCCCACTAAGCCAGATTCCATTTCCTGGCTCTCTTTTCGCAGTTGGCTGTGAACCACGTTACTGTATCCTACCCAGGGAAGTAAGTGGTAGTGGTGGATACCAAGAATAGGGCTAGCTCATAAATCCTCCCATATGGGCTTCCTTAGGCTGTTTCCATTATGACTGGGCAAACACAGGTAACACAAAAATTTAACACAGCTAAGCCTTTCCCTTAGAAGGCAATGAAAATTTAAGCCAAGTAGAGGTGGTATCAATGGCAAGGCAAGGCTGGGTCACATGACCCCTGATAACTCCGTGGTCAAAAAATCTGAGAACCTACCCTTTTATTCATTAATTTAAGTGAAGTTTAACTTAAAAAGTACTTTATCTAAAGCACCATACTAGACATGACAGTAAATAAAAGCGTCTCAAAGATAGGGTCTGTTTGCCCTCTAGGGCAATCTAGTCAAATAAACAAAATACATACCTAAAGGTATTCAGTGAGGTATGTTACAGAAAGTACATGATAGTGCCCTTGAGACTCAAATCAAGTGAGATTTTATTCCCCCACAAGTTTACTGGACACACAGCAAATTATCAGTAGGAGCTGTTCATTCTATATCCAAAATGACCTAAAATCTATTCCAACTGACATCTCTCTAGTCCCCATGGGGACTTCATTGTTCACGCTGTCTCACGATCTCATACAGCACAGCAGCCAAAATGGCTCTTGCGAGCTACCACATTATTTTAGACAAATGAGAATGTGGCCACAAATGGGTGGGACGCGTGTCGGCTCAACACATCAGGTACTTCATTCTTGCTCACATAAAAGCTTGGGATAGTTCTTTAAAAAAAAAAAAAAAGATTTTATTTATTTATTAGAGAGATGGAGAGATACCACAAGTAGGCAGAGCAGCAGGCAGAGGGAAAGGGAGAAGCAGGCTCTCCGCTGAGCAGGGAGCCCAATGTGGGGCTCAATCCCAGTACCCTGAGATCATGACCTGAGCCAAAGGCAGCCACTCAACCAACCGAGCCACCCAGGTGCCCCAAAAGCTCAGGATAGTTCTACGTCAGCTGGGAGGGGCTCCATTCCACACAGCTGTGCAGGTGCTCATGCTGGCAGTGGCTCTACCTTTCCAAGAGGGACTCCTCCCAAGTTTGCCCAGTCAGAAGGCAAACAGCACGAGGAAGCCCCCATGGGGGGTTTGTGAGCCAGCCCTCATTGTGGGGCTACTCACCACCACTTACCACGTGGCTATGTTACCACTATCATTTACTTCCCTGAGTAAGATACCGTCACACGGCTCAAAGCCCACTGCAAAGAGAACCAGGAAATGGAATCTGGCTGGGTGCTCAGGGTTTTAATGAACAGATGGCAGTCTCAACTTCAAATAAGATCCTGCCACCCCTTCGCTTAAAACACTGCAACTGCTTCCCATGGTGCTTAGAACCACGCTCCTTATCATGGCCCCCAGTGCCAGCATCACCGGCCCTGCCCGTCAACCTCAGGCGGCCCCACTCTCACCTGGCTTACTATGCACCAACCTCAGGGCCTTGGCTCAGCTCCATTTTTCCTTAGCTATGTCAAGCTCCTTATTGCCTCAGACTTTGAAATGCTATTGGTTCTACTTAGAAAGCTCTTCTCCCAACACATCACACTTTCCTTGGCGGGCTCTTTTTCATTCTCCAGGTATTAGCTTCACTGTGAATCCCTTAGAAATAAGTTCCTTATCTCTACCTAAATTAGGTGGCCCCGTCTACATTAGGACCATCTCAGCTCATTCTTCTGACTCAGAGCCTTGTGCTCTTTGCTCTCATGACCTTTAACACAAATGTCGGGTCGTTTTACTTAAATGTTAAATGTATTATCCTCCATCTCCCCAAGAGCACTGTCTGTTCCTGAGGCTGACTCCTCATTCATCTTTGCCTCCATAAGCCCCAGAACCATTGTTAGCAAGAACTATGTCTTCAACATATTTTTTATGAAAAACTACAGGAATGAATGGTACAAGGGAGGGGATAACAACTTTTCAGACTTGTTGTGGTCTTCAAAAGGTAGGAGGACTGCCATGCCGGTGGTGTGAGAGAAGGCACTAGAAGCGAGACCATTTAGACTTGAGCAAGGTTCTGAAGCACAAAAGCCTAATACATGCTTGAGGGCACGTGAGTAACCTGCTCGCTCTGAGTAGAGCCTGTGTGGGACAGTTCTGGAAAGAAGCAACGGAGGACTCCTGTCCCTCCAGTCTGAATCCTCACATGAAGAACGAGAACAACCACAAAGCAGTTTGGAGAGACTGACCTGCCAGAGGGAAGAAAAGACGAAACAGCCAGCAGCACGCGGTTAAGTCAAAGTCCAGGAGGCAGAAGTGGCAGTGGGAGGAGAAAAGGAGAAAGAGGAGGGAAAAGGAATGAAGACTAATTACAGGAGACAGTAAGTACTTGATGCCTTTAAAATCTAGGTTCCTCTGCTTTTACAGATGCCCCCTCTCACTCGGGTGAGTAACCAAAGTTCTTCTGAGGCCTGGCGGGCTTCCTCTGCTCTTGGCACCTCCTCTTGGGCCTGTCTCCTCATTCACTGTTGCTGGCTCCACTACAGCCACGATGGGCTCTTTGCTGATCCCTTTTGTTTTTCTTTTGTTCTTTCTTCCTTTTTTTTTTTTTTTTTTTAA